AAAACTAATGCTGTAATGTATGGTGACTAACATAACATAATAAAATTAAAAAAAAAAAGATTCTAGGGGCAAAAGTGAAGGAGAGGTGGAGGCAGAGAGCAAACAGATGGCAGATGTTGAGGAACCAAACTGAAAGGTCTGTGATCTCCTCAGTCAAGGTACCTGTGCCTAATCGTCCGTCTTACTCATTTTCAGACCCCAGGTGCCAGTTTCCAATTTGATTTCCTTCTCTCCACAGGCTAACGCTGACCCCAAGCCGCTCCTCACCAGGACAAGATGAGAGTATCAGGTAGGGGCCATATTCTGAGGATTCAAAGTCTCAACATTGAGGTCTGATATGGGTTTAGGAATCATTTTTTCCATCAGGAATGCAGTCAGTCCCTAGACTCAGAGGTTGTTTGACTGTCTATGCTCTCAAATGTTCAGACCAGACTAATTCCAGGAGGAAACCCATCCAGGGGGAGCCTGGAAGAGGGGGAAAAGGCAACTTGCTGCCCGTAGGCTGAAGGGCTGGAGAAGCTTTGGCATCATGGCCCCACCTGGCTGGGACCACAGGGACTGACGTGGTTCAGAGCACAAGTTTCAGAGTCAGCACACATTCCTGGGTTCAAATGCCGCCTCGGTCACTTACCAGCCAAGTGACCGCCCCCCTGAGCCTGTTTCCTTATCTGCAAAATGGGAATGATCAGTAGTATCTGACAGAGATTTGCCGTGAGGATGAACTGAGATAATGTATGTGAAAGCTGTTTGCCCGCGGCCTCAAACAAAACGGCTGTATAATGTGAACTGATACCCAGGGAGAATTCTGGGTGCCTCCCACCACACTGTCTGCCAGAAGATGAGGGACCTCCCCAAAGACCTGAGCCCTGCCCCCACAGGATCCAGGGGGCCTTCTCCCCCACCCCAAGTAGCCAGAGGCCAGCACAAGACCCCAGAGCTGAATTCAGGGCCATGTGGAGGTCAGGGGAGGAGCTAGAGAACGTGGCTTGATGGCATTGGGGCCACCAAAGGCCCTGAGCTGGTAGACGTAGTGGAGACTGCTTCTGGCCCTCATGGGAGAGTGGGGGAAGGGAGTGAGACCGGGAGCTCTGGGAGCTCTGGAGACCAAGAGTCTGTCCTGTGTGTGGGGTTGCTCCCCACTGATGCAGAAGCAGTCAGGCTGTGAGGCCAGGGAAGCCACATCAAGCAAGGCCAGTGTGTGTTCCTATAAATAGCATTGTGTGGTTATTTGTGGCCCCTTTCAGGGGGAGCAGTGAAAAATGTGAGGGACAAGCCCCTGCCCCAAGCCACCATGGAGGCTGCCTACTAGTGACAACTATCACCTCCCTCCCAACAAGCTGTGGGTTCAGAAGCGAGGCTGTTGAACCATGTCCACTCTGTGACTGAGGCACTCCTGCCCAGAGAGGCTGAGCTTCTGCCCGAGGTCACACAGTGGCACTGGCTGCCTGGAGGGCTGAATGCAGCCTTCCCGACTTCTGTGGCGGGGCTCACCCCTCGGGCTGTCTGCAGCAGAACCTGCCTCCTGCTTTGCTGCCACACACTCAGGCCTCACCACAGGGTATTGGATAAAAGTGCAGATTCCCAGGCCTCACCCCTAAGGAGTCTGTCTGTGGATGGCTAAGTGGAGCCCAGAAAGGAACATTTCTAACCTTTTCCCCCAGTGGACCCACTTTGGGAAATGTGGCCACGTAATCTTGCAGCATGATCTCACCATTTGGTCATTGCATGGATTCACACATGGTCTCACCCCGTGGTCTCCTGACCTGGTCCAAGGTGTGGGCCTTGGTCTGGGGCTACAACATGGGGTCTCCTGGTGGGGTCTCATGACATGGTCTCACTGTGGGGATTTGGTAAGGACTCACAAGTAACCTTGCTATGTGGCCTTGTGATGTGGCTTCAGGGCAGTATCTCCTTGCGCTACAGGTGTGCTTCACCTCCTGGCCTTTATCTTTGCCCTGGTCGCCACATGGATCTTTATTAGCAGCTACATCAGCTTCAACATGAAAACTCTCCGTCTGCCCCGCTGGCTAGGTGAGTGGGGCTCACTGCTGGGCACAGGGACTGTGGACCAGGACGGGGCCAAGGATATTCCTCCCTTCATCTGTGGGTGACCCAGGAGACAGCCAGACATGGCAGGGTGTGCGCTGCCTTCGGGACTCCAGCCTTGGTGGGGGTGGAGGCTTCCAGGTAGCCTGGAGCCCATGAGGAGCAGAGAAGTGTTCCAAGGCCCTGGCTCTAACCTGTGCCTGCATCAAGGGCCGTTTTGGAAATGTGATTCCAAGAAAAAAGAATGACACAGGGAGGAAGAAAAGAAGGAAGGAAGGGGGGAGGAGAAGAAGGGAGTCAAGAGAGAAAAAACTGAGCATTGAGTGGCATCCAACTGCAGCTGCTATCACCTCTTCCTGAAACACTCTTCACACAGATGTCCCTGTAGCCAGCTCTTCTCCAACTTCAGGTCTCTGCTCAAATGTGACCTCCTCAGAGAGGCCTTCCCCAACAACCCCAGCTGCAGTCATGCCCCCTCCCTCTACTTTAGCCCCTACGTTGGCCTATTTCCTTCAGAGCTTCACCATCAGCCATCATTAGGGTGTTTATTTATTTGTCTATTTAATTGTTGTCGATCACTATTCCCTAGAATGTAAGCTTCTTGAAGGCAAGGATTTTCTCTTGTGTACCTCCATTTCTCTAGCACTCAGTGCAGGGCAGATGCTCAGTAAACATTTGATGAATGAAAGAAAAATGAATGGATGGATGATGGATGGGTGGATTGATGGAGGGTGGATGGAAGGTGGATGAATGGATGGATGTATAGGTGGATGAATGGATAGGTGGGTGGATAGATGATGGGAGGATGGATGGATGGATGGATGGGAGGATGGATGGATGGATGATGGATGGATGGGAGGATGGATGGATGGATGATGGATGGATGGATGGGTGGATGGATGGTGAATGGACAGGTGGGTAGGTAATGGATGGGTAGATGGGTAGATAATGGATGAATGATGGATGGACGGGTAGATGGATGGTTGGGTGATGGATGGATGAGTAGATGATGGATGGGTGAATGAATGATGCATG